GCCGCAGCGTACCTCCGCAGCCCTCGGCCGTTACCCGATGGCAGCAGTACTGACGCTTGGGCATGCGTGTCCTATCATCGTGGCTTCAGACTTGGGAGTGGTTTCGGGTTCGCTGGCTGGGCGGCCCCACCATGGGCAACGGTGTGGATCGTGGAGTGAGCACTCTGTAGGTTCCTGCCTCTTCTGCCCCTGTCTTAGCCGACATCGGTACGGCTGTGGTACCCCGGTACTACCTGTCCGGGAGAGGTCGGCCGCGCGGACTGGCGCCGACAGGGCGACTCTCCGCTGCCGAACGAGGAGCATTTTGCTTATTGCACGTGCACTTGCATTCATTGCATGTTTTTACTGCAGGTGTGTTGCCTGCTGTTGTAATTCGCCTCGCCTGCTGGCCCAGTCGACGCCTTACGCTCCGTGTCCGCCGCCTTGGAGCCGCTGACCAAACAAGTATTCCCACCAGCCCGTCCAGAAATGAGCCCCAGGGGAGTGGAGGTAATGAGGGAAGCGGGGGGGGGGCATGCAGAACAACAAACGGCGGGGTGAGCCGCCAGATACCCCAAGAGGGGGAGGATGTAGGAGGAGTCGTCGACGTCGGAGTAGGAGGAGGAGGAAGAGGAGGAGCAGGAGGAGGAACAGGAGGAGGGGGAGGAGGAGGAGGAGGAGGAGGAGGAAGATAAAGAGGAGGAGATGGAGGAGGGCGAGGACGTGGAGGACGAGAAGGATGAGAAAGAGAAGGAGGAGGAGGAGGAGGAGGAGGAGGAGGAGGAGCAGGAGGAGCAGGAGGAGCAGGAGGAGAGGGAAGGGGAGGAGGGAGGATTAAAAAAAAAAGAGGAGGAGGATGAGGAGGAGGAGGAGGAGGAGGACGAGGAGGACAATGGCGAGCTTGGGGGCCTCTTGGGCCGTCTTTGGGGCCTCTTGGCGGTCCCGGGGGCCTTTTGCTATCTCGGGGAGCCTCTTGGGGCCTCTTGGGGGTCTCTTGGGAGCCTCTTGGAGACCTCTTGGGCGCCTCTTGGGGCCTCTCGGGGCGCTCTTGGGGCCATGTTGGGGGAGATCTATTAAAGAAGGGGGGGTCAATTAGCGCTGGCCTTCTGGAGTGCCTCGAATCGCCTCTTGGGTCTTGGGCCCCAAAAGAGGCCAAAATCCTTCCAACACCTAGGGAAATCAATGTTTGTTTGCTTTCTCGCTTTTTCGTTTTTGGAGCCGTCTTTGGCCATCTTGGACGCCCCAACGACCCGCGGAACCCTCCGTCCAGGTCCAGGGGAGGGGGTAGGGGGGAAGGGGAAGCCCCCCCCCTCCGAAGGGGAAGAAGGGGGTTGGAAGAGGAAACTCTCTAGCCCACCGACGCCCAGAGGGCCGGTGGGATTACGCCACCTTGTCGCATCACAAGATGTGTCGTCAGGGCGGCCCGGGCCTTTCGCTTGAGGCTTTCACTGTGTCGGATCCCGAAGTTGGAGATTCCCAAGCGTTGCACTGCTGGAGCGCGCAGGGCTTTCACAGTGGTGCTCCCGCTCTCGCGCCGTTCACGCTCGTCTTCATACTACGTTCAAGAATTCTGACGTGTACAGGGCAGCATGTGCTTGACCTGCGGCCTTTGTTCTGCCGCTGCGCACGCTTTTGCACGAATGTTGCAACTACACGGATGGAGGACGGCTCCTTCTGAACATTGGTTTCCGCTTGAGACCCCCCCAAGGCTAATGGGGCTCTCGCTTGGGACGTATTTGAATCGTGTGCCAAGAAGTTTGAAAGTGCGCACCGCTTACGCTATGGATGGCATTTCCGGTTCAGAGCGGCGGTCTCGCTGGGCATGTCCTCTGATGTATCAGGAGGGGAGACACACACACAGACACCAGCAACCGTCGACTCCCGGGAAGAGATGAGAAAATGTGGGGCGCGGGGGGGGGGGGGGGGCGGAGACCCGGCCAGAAAGTGCGAGAAGGTGTGGGGGATCCTGGGGTCCGTGCCCATGTGTTTGCGTGTCCCAGGGCCACTTGGATTTGGTGGCTCGTGCCCTGGCGTGTCTCGTGGCAGGCAGGGCGGCGTGCGACACCTCCTTGGGGCCCCGGGGCCTCGCCCGAGGATGGCAGAGCCACGGGTGCCCTCTCGCCTGCCAAGAGTCGGGAGGGAAAGAAACACACAGACACAATGAATCGTCGACTTCTAGGAAAATATGGGCAGATAATTATGGGAAGGGGGGGGGAAGACAGAAACCCAGAAAATGTAGGAAAAGATGCGGAATCCTTTTATTTGTGTGTATTTATTTGTGTGCCCCTGGGCCCCTTGAAAGAGAGAGGTGCGGGGGGCCACGCCGCCACGCAGCGGACAAAAAAAACATGCACACTGGCAGGCACCCGTGCGAAGGCGCCGGGGTGCGAGAGGACACACGGCAGCATCGCTGCTGCGCCTCCAGCTGGCTCTGACTCTGATCCTCCTCCTCCTCCCCCTCCTCCTCCCCCTCCTCCTCCTCCTCCTCTCCTCACTCCTCCTCCCCCCCTTCCTCCTCCCCCCCCTCCTCCTCCTCCTCTCCTCCTCCTCCTCCTCCTCCTCCTCCTCCTCCTCCTCCCTCCTCCTCCTCCTCCTCCTCCTCCTCCTCCTCCTCCTCCTCCTCCTCCTCCTCCTCCTCCTCCTCCTCCTCCTCCTCCTCCTCCCTCGTTTCTCTTCGTCTTCCTGCTGCCCGCCCCCGTACCCAAACCCAAAGGCTGCGATATGGTTGTGCTCTGGCGTGACTCTCTGTCTCGAAGGCGCCTACCATGAGTCACCGCCGCCTCCTTCCGTTCTGGAAGCGCCTGCGTGGCAAAACGTCAGGCCAAAGCTTGGTCCGGCAATTGGGTTACACGTTCCCTCAGCCGTGGTGAAGCCCTCTGGAGGAGCAGTTCGGGAAGGAAGAGGGGAAGGAGTAGGAGGAGGACGAGGAGGAGTAGGAGGAGGACGAGGAGGAGCAGAAGAAAGAAGAGGAGCCCGCTTAGGGGGCCTCTTGAGGGCCCTCTTGGGGTCTTCTGGGGGCCTCTTGGGTGCATCTGGGGCAGTCTTGGAGCCATCTTTGGCCGAGCTGGTGCCATCTTGGCCGTCTGGGAGGGTCTGGTGGACCGTCTTGGAGGCCATGTAGGGCCATCGTGGCCGACTTGGAGCCATCTTGGGCCGACTTGGTGCCATCCTGGCCGTCTCGGAGGGCGTCGTGGGCCGTCTCGGAGGTAGGGCCGCCGTGGCCGACTCGAGGGCCGGATTGGCCCCGTCTTGGAGCCCACTTGGGGTCGTTTTGGAGGCCATCCTGGACCATCTTGGACAGAAAGGCCCACACGAGCTCCGCAGGCGGCGGGGTGCGCCGAAGGCCACTCGGAAAATCTGGACGGGCCAGAGTCGTGTCAATGTTCGGCACGCCAAGCACCGCTCCGCAGGTGACGGGTGCGGCACATCCCTTGCCTGGGACGAGGCAGGTTGGGCGTTGGCGTTCTCCTGCCGACCGGACTGCCCGATGGCATCCTGAGCTTGAGCAGGCCTGCTGGAGCTCTGAGCAGATCCCGGCAGCGGACAGATCTCCGCAGACTCTGGCCCGCGTGGAGCCGCATCGGGGCTCCGGCCGCATCAGGACATGTGTGCCGCCCCGCATGGGGCCTTCTTTTCAAGGGTGCATCTCTCGCGCTCGGCGTGTTCTCTGAGGCCCAGTGCGGAGATGCACGCGCGGCACGCACGGCCTCCAGTGAGGCCTCTGAGGCAAATGGCCCCGGATGCGCACTGCTGCAACGATAACAACGATAACAGCTAGCGTTATCGTTGTTGTTGTTTCTGCTGTTGTTGCTGTTGTTGTTGATATCGCTACTGCTGCACGTGCCCTCCAGTGCTGGAGCGGGCCTGCGCGCACGGCCCGGATCTGGTTGGCTCGGTGGATCTGCCTGGGTCGGTGCGCGGTTCAGGGGGCGCACGGCCTGCACATTCGTGGAGCTTCACTGCGGTCGATGTTCATGTTCATGTTCATGTTCAAAGGTGTTCGGGATGAGGAAAAGTATCCTCAGCCTCCTCCTCCTCCTCCTCTTCTTCCTCCGCGGAGGCTGGAGGTATGTGTCTGATGCTCCGAACTTTCGAGCCTCCAGACGCCGATAGTGGCCCCCAGAGGTTGTGGTCTCCGCGAGTGCTCCCCGGGGGCAGGACTTGACCCTGGCGGCAGGTGACCTTCAACGACGTAGCTCAAGAGTGAAGAGCCCCATGCTGCACTAAAGCAGGCCCGCAACCATCTGCACCCCTGGGCCTGGCAGGCGAAGTTCGCAGATGTTGTGGATGCAAGAAGTACACACTGTTCGTTCCTAAGTATTCGGAAGTTCTTTCTTTTTGGGGGGGGCAAGATCCGTTCATTTCTAATTGTTCTACCCTGGGCGTCTTCCTGGCCACTACGGGGCCAGGAACAATCAGAAACGAGCACAATTAGAAATGAGCACGACATCAGACATGAGCGCCGTGCACTCCGCCTTGGAATGCCTGCTCAGCGTGTCGCGCCGCCGAGTCTGGCCCACCACGCTGCGGCGCGACGCGCCAGCAACTTCCCGAGCTCCCGAGCGTCGACTTCCCGAGACGTTCTGAGCCGAGCGCCCCGCGGAGCGGAAAAACGCGCTCTCCGTTTTCAAGGGCGCAGCGTGTCACCAGGCCAACGCCGCAAAACGCTAAGCGACAGTTCCTGACCGCAAAGCGGGCCAAAGCAAGGCTCCTCCTCCTCCTCCTCCTCCTCCTCCTCCTCCTCCTCCTCCTCCTCCCTCTTTCCTCCTCCTCCTCCTCCTCCTCCTCCTCCTCCTCCTCCTCCTCCTCCTCCTAACCCCCTCTTTGATCCTCCTCCTCCTCCTCCTCCTCCTCCTCCTCCTCCTCCTCCTCCTCCTCCTCCTCCTCCCTCCTCCTCCTCCTCCTCTGGGGCCTTTCCCCCGGGACCAGCTCTTCGTCCTGAGCCCATGGGGGGCTTCTAGGATGGCGACCTCGGGACCCGTTCCCTCGCGGCGACGTCTGCCCCGTCCGGGCCCGGGCAGGCGAAGTTCCGCTCCCTGAAGAAGGGCAACGCCGCCCTGCAGGGCAAGCTGCTCGGCGTCGGCGAGGGCGCCGCCTCGGAGCTCCTGCTGCTCGCGGGCTTCCAGGACTCGGGCGAGGCGATCAGCCTCGCGGAGGCGCCGGACGGCCGCTGCACCGCCGTGCGCGACGAGGTGCAGTCGCACGCCGAGGAGGCGAAGATGCAGGAGTCGCAGAGAAGAGAAGCAAGTCGAATGAGCGGGCGCTCGGGGACTGTTGGCTAGCGTGTCGCGCCGCCGGTTCTGGCCCACCACGCTGCGGCGCGGCACGTTTATCCGCCTCCCAGCCCCCAGAGCAGGCCGCCCTGCGGAGCCCAGCGGCGCGCCTGGCGCTCGCATGGCGCAGCGTGTCGCCGGGCCGCCGCCGCGGCACGCGGAGCAAGAGCTTCCGACCGTGAGCTGGGCTTTCGGAGCTTCGCGCGGATGTCTCGGATCTGCGCTGAGGCCCCCCCTTAGCGGCACGGGCTGGTTTCGCCCGGCTGGTTTCGCCGGGGTTGATTTCGCCGGGGCTGGTTTCGCCCGCGATGCTGGTTTCGCCGGCGCTGGTTTCGCCCGACGCTGGTTTCGCCGGCGCTGGTTTCGCCCCGCTGGTTTCGCCCCGCTGGTTTCGCGGGACATTAAAGTGTGGTGCATAATCGAGTGGGCACGATAGAGCCCTAACGGGCGGGTCGGGTCGGGTCGGGCGGACCCTAACGAGCGGGTCGGGTCGGCTCGGGTCGGGCGCACCCTAACGGGCGGGTCGGGTCGGGCGGGCGGGACAAGACGGCACGCGAGAACCCTAACGGTCGGGTCGGGTCGGGTCGGACGGACCCTAACGGGCGGGTCGGGTCGGGTCGGGACGGGCGGACCCTAACGGGCGGGTCGGGTCGGGTCGGGCGGGACATTAAAGTGTGGTGCATATAATTGAGAGGGCACGCGAGAACCCTAACGGTCGGGTCGGGTCGTCGGTCGGACCCTAACACGGGTCGGGTCGGGTCGGGGCGGGCGGACCCTAACGGGTCGGGTCGGTCGGGTCCAGCGGCCCTAACCCTCTTCCCTCCTCCCTCCGTCCTGCCCTCCCTCAGCCACCTCCTCCACCTCCGCATCCACCTCCTCCTGCCCCACCTCCCCACCTCCACCTACTCCTCCTCCTCCTCCTCCTCCTCCTCCTCCTCCTCCTCCTCCTCCTCCTCTCCTCCTCGTCCTGCCTCCTCCTCCTCCTCCCCCTCCTCCTCCTCCTCCTCCTCCTCCGGCCTCCTCCTCCTCTCCTCCTCCTCCTCCTCCTCCTCCTCCTCCTCCCCTCCCTCCTCCTCCTCCTCCTCCTCCTCCTCCTCCTGCACCTCCTCCAGCAGCTGGGCGAAACCAGCCGGGCGAAACCAGCCGGGCGACAGCGGGGCGAAACCAGCGCCGGCGAAACCAGCGTCGGGCGAAACCAGCCCCGCAGCGCCAGGCGAAACGAGCCGGGCGAATTTAGCCGGGCAAAACCAGCCCTGGGCGAAACCAGCGGTTGCCCCCTTAGCGACGCCTCCGGCGCCGCCCCTAGCGCGCTCCGCGCGCCAGGGAGGGGGTGTCCAGCGCAGGTCCGAGAAAGCCTCTCGGACCTCCGAAAGTTGATGCGTATGCAATGTGCTTCTTCGTTGTCTATATCCTCGGGGGGCTCCCTCTCTCTCCGTCCTTTTGAAACTCTAGGTGTAAGCCGCTTATACTTCCTCAGAGGAGCTGCGCAGGGAGCGCGACGCGAAGATCGCCGAGGAGGTGAAGAAAGACAAGGGCAGCGCCGCGCGCTACGGAGGCGGCGGAGACGAGAAGGGCCGCATGAACCTGGGCGGGGACCGCAAGAAGCGCGGAGGAGGCTGAGGCTAAAGGGGCAGCGCCGCGCTGCCTGCTGAGAATATAGTAGAATCGTCACGGGCTTTGGCGTGCCCGCCCCGAGCCATGAGCCTCTTCCTGGCCCCCTGATCGGGTCGGGCGGAAAGGGGGGGAGAGGGCAAGGAGGGAATACGACAGCGGATGCGTGCAGCTGGCTTCGGCCCCGCCGCCAGGCGCTTTCTCCTCGATGCAGGGGCGTCTCCGGCGCCAGGAGGCGCCAGGAGTTCCGGCGACGTGAGCCGATTCGGTACCCCGCCCTTGGCTGACCCATCCCAGCCCGGCCCGGCCCGAGCGGATCGGGTCCCGCGCGCGCGAGTCTCGGCCGCGGCCCGCACGGTGGCAAGAGCCCCCAGCTCGCTCGGCCAAGATGCCCGCGGCTCCCGCGTGACGCCCGATGCGCGGGGGGCGGCTGGCAGGCCTCGCCCGCAGCCGCCGACCGCGCCGGGCTGAGAGAGAGAGCCGCCGGGAGCGGCCCAGGGCTGCAAGCGCCTTGGACCTCCGAGCCCCGCCCCGCCCCGCTCCCGCGTGCATCAGGAAGGGAAAAAACACACAGACACAAGTAATCGTCGATTCCCCAGAAGATATGGGAAAACATAGGAAGTGGGGGGCGCGACGAAAACCAGGAAGATATCGGAAAATAGGGGGAATAGTTTCATTTGTTTGTGTGTGTGTGTGCGTGTGTGCGTGCGTGCGTGTGTGTGTGTGTATTGATGTGTGTGTGTGTGTGTTTGTGTGTGTATTTGTGTGTGTGCGTGTGTGTGTGTATTTGTGTGTGCGTGTGTGTGTGTATTTGTGTGTGTCTTTGTGTGTGTGTGTGCGTGTGTGTGTGTATTTGTGTGTGTTTGTGTGTGTTTGCGTGTGTGTGTGTGCGTGTGTGTGTGTCTTTGTGTGTGTCTTTGTGTGTGTGTGTGTATTTGTGTGTGTGCGTGTGTGTGTGTATTTCTGTGTGTGGTTTTGTGTGTGTGCGTGTGTGTGTATTTGTGTGTGTCTTTGTGTGTGTGCGTGTGTGTGTGTATTTGTGTGTGTGTGTGTGCGTGTGTGTGTGTATTTGTGTGTGTGTCTTTGTGTGTGTATTTGTGTGTGTGCGTGTGTGTGTGTGTGTATTTGTGTGTGTGCGTGTGTGTGCGTGTGTGTGTGTATTTGTGTGTGTGTTTGTGTGTGTGTGTGTCCTGGGGCCCCTTCAGTCTAGCGCCGACCCAGGGTTCTGTATCTCCGAGCGGACCTCCGATGTGGTTCTTCTGTGTCCTCCCTTCCTCTCCCACGCTCCTGGCTTCCCCAGGCGCAGGTCCACTTTTTTGTTGTTGCCTGCTGTGTGTACGCTGGCCGTTGAGCTGATGTGGGCAGGATTCTTAGCCCGTTGACTTTCAGAGACTCTTGTCCGAGATGTGCGTTTGCACTAGCGGGACAAAATTGAAGAGGTCGCCCTACTGCTTGCTTGTATGTGCCTCAGCTTTTCCTGTCCTTTCGACACGTGTCTCAGACGCCCTCCACGTCCTCCACTTGTCTCCAGACACTGGTGGAGCAGGGGAGTCCTCTTTCTCCTCCCCCTCCTACCCCCTCCTCGTCCTTCTCCTCCTCCTCCTCCTACTCCCTCGCTCCCTGGGCAGGAGGAGGAGTAGGAGGAGGAGCAGGAGGAGGAGGAGGAGGAGGAGGATGAGATGACTGGGGGGGGGCTGAGGGTCGGTTTCGGTTTCGGTCCGCGTCGCGCGCTGCGGGCGAGGCGAACTCAAGTCGAAATGCGCGTCCAATTGCAATCGGAATGCAAATGGTAACGCAAGTCCAAGTTCACCTATAGGACCACCCGTCGTGTGACAGGGAGATTTTTTGGGGGGGATGGGAGCAGCTTTCGGTTTGCGACTGGTGTCGGGTCGGGCTCGCGATCTGTTACGCAATTGACGACATACAGTCGGGGCCCTGTGAACCCGTTTCGTTGGGGAGGGACTCCGTGCTCCTTAATTGTTTCGCAGCTTGCCTTGGATTTTCTTTAGGTTTTCGATACGAAATCGAAGTTCAACTTATGGAAAATAGGGGCCTCGTTCCTTATTTAGGGTTCCTTAGGTCAACGCCTCGACTGTAGAAGCCCGCGGACAGCCACGGGACATCCGTGAGAGCACCACGGGACAGTCACAAAACAGCCACTGGATCACCTCGGGGAAGCCACAGGGCAACCGCAGGACGACCACGGGACGGGCACGGGACACCCATGCGACAACCACGGGACACCCACAGAACAAGCGCGGGACAACCACAGGACAAGCACGGGACAACCACTGGACAACCTCGGAACAGCCACGGGACAATCACAGGACACTTACGGGGCGACTACGGGGCAATCACGAGGCGACCACGGGACAACCACGGGACAATCGTGGGAGCAATTGCCCAGCCGCCAGGGAGCAATCAATAGTGGTTCCAGGCTCTAACAAGGCAGCTTTCTCTCGCTCTCGCGCAGCTTCGCCTCGCCCGCGCGCACGCCACTGACGACACGAATCGAAATCGAAATTGGACGTTGGTTTTCGATCTCCCCCTATAATTTCCGATAGAGCTGAGATCGGTAAACAGATAGCGATACCGACAGATGGTGACATCGGTAGAAGGATAGTGAGGTCGTGAGATCGGTTGGTAGACGGTGAGTTCGACGTGAAGATAGTGGTATGGGCGTTCGCGAGATCGGTCGACAGCGAGGCCGAGAGATACAAGATTGTTTGCGAATCCGATCGGACGTCAGCCGCAAATCGACAGCTGCGCCCATCCACCCCGAACCTCCTTTTCACCCGAAGGGTGACAGGCCACCTGTCGGGACAAATCATTGTCGGTTGTTCGACGTCTCTGCTTCGGGAAGCTTCTGGAGGCCTCCGAAGCCCTCTGAGGAGAAGAAGGAGGAGGAGGAGGAGGAGGAACAGGACCAAGGCCAGCTCAGAGAGCAGGAAGCTGAAGCGTGGCATCCTGCCCGACTCAGAAGCTCTGCTCACCCCGTCCGTCCCCTCTCCTGATCAGGCCGTGAGTTGCGGGCCAGGAGGGCGGACTGATTTTCTTTTCAGGGGCCCGTTGTCTTTGTATGACACTCCCTTGTTATAGTCACATAGACACTATGAGGGAAGGAAAGAGCGGAGGCGGAAAAGGATTGATGTTGGAAGCGTCTTTGGTGGATACGGCGCGTGAGAGCGAGGAAGGCGCAGGAGGAGGAGGAGGAAAAAGAGGACGAGGACGAGGAGGATCAGGACTTGGGCGGGGAGGCCGAGGAGGAGGCAGGGCGCAGTTGTCATCTCTAGGGCACGGGTTCCTACCAAGTGGGGCGCTCCTGAAAGGGCCTCGCCTTCAAGGGCCGAAGGAGTTGCCATCTTTTCAGGTTGTTCGCGTCCTCCTCGGTCTCCACGCAGTGTCGGTGCGGGCGGGCGGTCAGGCTGCACCATGCATCCGCCTGCACGTTCGGCCCGCTGTATTTACGAGATCGGGGCCATCGGTTGTTTCGGGGTTACGTTTACGAGGCCTCATCGGCGCGTTCGGCGCCTATGAACGTTTACCCGTTAATGTTTTGGTTGTGCGTCCCTTGTCGGTGCCGTTCCGGATGTCGGAGCAGACGAAGCATAGGTTAGATTGTTTTTTCCGGTTTTTCTTCAGTAGCCTCATCGCCCAGGGTCCACCACTCAGAGTTTCCCATGGGAACTTCGGTCCCCCAGTCAACTGGGGGCGAACGGCTGGTGAGTTGCTCTCGTTTCGAAAACTGCGTCCGTGGCAGTGGTTTTCAGGCAGGGCGCAGTTGTCACTTCTAGGGCAAAGGTTCCAGGCAAGTGGATCGCTCGAGAAATGGCCTCGCCTTCGAGGACCAAAGGAGCTGCCGTTTCTTCCGCGGCGGAAGGGCGGCGGAGCCCCGCGGAAGGAAATCGAGGCCGCCCTCGCTGGCGGGAGCGGGCGGAAGGCCGGCGGAAGCCGGCGGAAGTAAAACATGCACCCCCGAGAGATGACAACATTCTTGAGTCCAGGGTTTTCGAAAGTCGCCGGCGCTCGCCACCAGCTGAGGAGGGTCAACGATCAGGGGCGGAGGCTCTGCGCTTCCGGGCGCTGTGTCGCCCGTGCTCGGCAGCGCGTCCCGGGGGCGCCCGGATCGTCCCGAGCGGCCGCCGAAGTCCCGAAGCATGACCCGAAGGCCACCCAGGGGCCAGCTCAGGGGGGCAACCATCGACCTGGACTCGGCGATACGTCGCCGGCACGTCGGCGACGGGCCCCGGACGGCAGGTCCCAGGGCACTTCGCCTCGGCGCGCCTCAGCCTCAGCCTCAGCCCAAAAACCCGCCTCGGCCTCAGCCTGCCTCGGCCTCAGCCTGCTTCAGCTCGGGCATGCAAAAGATGGCACAGGACTGGTGTTCTGGGAACACGAAGATCACGAAGTGGCCCACAGTTGGCTCCGGGCAGTCAGAATATTGTACAGGAGTGATGTTCTGGGAACACGAAGAACACGAAGGGGCCTACAGTTGGCTCCGGGCATTCAAAATGTGGCCTGGGAATGGTGTTCTGGGAAGACGAAGAACACGAAATGGCCTACAGTTGGCTCCGGGCATTCAAAGTATGGCCTGGGAATGATGTTCTGGGAGCACGAAGAGCACGAAGTGGCCTACAGTTGGTTCCAGGCATTCAAAATGTGGCCTGGGAATGGTGTTCTGGGGGGTCCCCGGATCCTCCCCGGCACCCGCCCAGACCCCTTCTGGGGAGTCCCGGGGAGTCCACCCCCTGGGGAGTCAAGATGTTCTCGTCTTTGAGCCCACTAGAAACCTATCAGTCTTCGCTGTTGAGTGAAAAACGCTCACCAGGGAGGTGCTTTTTCGCCAGGGAGGCTGCGCGAGAGCGCGAAGACGATCGCGCGCCACGCCGCGCGAGGCGTCAGGTCGGGCGACCTGCGCGCAGTCCCCGCGGCGCTTTCTTTCTTGACACCGCCGAGCGGAGGAAGGATGACATGGTCGCCGAGCTGCGCGAGAGCGGTCTCCCAGTCCA